CCTTCCTTCCTTCCTTCCTTCCTTCCTTCCCCTTCCTTCCTTTCTTTCCTTTCTTTTCTTTTTTCTTGAGATGGGGCTTCACTGTCACCCAGGCTGGAGTGCAGTGGTGTGATCTTGGCTCATTGCAACCTCTGCCTCCTCAGTTAAATGATTCTCTTGCGTCAGCCTCCTGAGTAACTGGGACTATAGGCATGCTTAGCATATGTTCCAGGATCTCCTGGGCCTCTGTAATGGGTGATGGCCACTTATATTTAGCTCAGAATAAATCTCTTCAAATATTTTACAGAGTTTGACTCTTTTCATTGACAATAATATACCATTTCTTGGTTTGCAATCCTAATTATATTAATCAATTATATAAAAATTACATTGTATTTAATGGCTCTATCTTTACTTTTCCTATATAAGTGCCTTAGGGTTTTAAAACATTAATATCAAAGTATTATTAAAATATGTCAGTGTTTATAACCTTTAGTGGACATTTAGGTTGCCTGCCTAACATTTTGGTTGCTTAACTCCTGTAAACTAAAAATAAAATTTTAAGCCTCCCAAGTGACTGAACAGACCATGCCTTGGCCAAGGGGACTCCAGGGTAACCGTGAAAGCTAAATTCTCATTCATGACAGGATGCCGGGGTCAAACAAGCTTTATTATACTCCTTCCTCAATATTCAGGATGAGCCTTTCTTCCCTAAGGGCTAAACAGAAACCAGCCCTTTTGAAAGATTCCACCACTTATATCAACCGACCACCTGATATTGCCTCTAGTTTTTTGCCTGATAAGAGATTACCACACGGAGTGGTTCTGGCCCATCTCCAGAAAATGCACAGTAAGAGTTTTCATGTCCTCTGCTTCGCCTTTTGATGTCAGAGAACTGAAAACTTCACTCTCGGATCATGCTAACACTGCTATTTTTTGTACATGGAACCCATGAAGGGGCATGAAGCTCCATTGCACATGCACACATTTATCCTTTCATAAATATTCATGACTCCTATAGCTTATTGAATATGTATATTTGGCCACCCTGCTCAGCATAAATTCCTGTTCTCTTTGCCCCTCCCTCAGAGTGTCTGTTTCTGGCTTCTGGCTGTGGGGTCAGCCTGTCAGCATGGTTACCCTACAGGCTGCAACCCTTTTCGAGAAATAACTTTCCAAATTTGTGAACTTCATCTATTCCTCAGCTGACACTCTCCTTTTCCTTTCTGAATGGAAAATGGTTTCGTTCAAATACCCTCTCCTCCCACATGAAACAAGGAAGGCGATCCTAAACTCAGCACATTTAGGCTGTACTTTGTCTAAGAAACCAATCATAGTGTTAACTGACCACTGGTTCTTGGTCTCTCAATGCAATACAGATTGACAAGAGGCCAAAACAGTTTCCCCAGACAAGACTTCATTGGAGTTTATGCTGGGACATAAGGGAGGTAGCACAAAAGAGAGAATTCCCCAACTGACTCCTCAAAAAGAGCTAGTAGAGCTTTTTTTTAGGCAAAGTGCAAGAATTGACATCAGGGGTAGGGTATGCAGGCTGGACTGGGCAAAGCATATGATGGGTAGGCTATGCGGGTCAGCATTACCTGGTTGCTATGTTATCTTGAGTAATAGGCACCTTATGGGCTGGACAGAGGCAACAAGTCTGTAAATCAATTGTTCAGCATTCCTTCCCTAGCTAGGACACTCCACAACCTTGGTCATCTAAGGCAGTTCTGGGAATTCTTTTTTTTTTTTTTTTTTTGGACAGGATCTCGCTCTGTTGCCCAGGCTGGAGTGCAGTGGTGTGATCTTGGCTTACTGCAGCCTCCACCTTTCAGGCTTAAGCAATCCTCCCACCTCAACCTCCTGAGTAGCTGGGACCACAGGCACAGACCACCATGCTTGGCTAATTTTTCAATCTTTTGTAGAAATGAGGTCTTGCTGTGGGGTACACGCTGATCTTGAACTTCTGGGCCCAAACAATCCTCCCGCCTTGGCCTCCCAAAGTGCTGGAATTGCAGGTGTGAGCTATTGTGCCCAGCCTAGTTCCTGGAATTCTTTAAGTAAAAGGCATGGTCTAAACATTAAGGCATCAGTGAGGTAGTGGTGTAGGTTTTGTGCTTGGTGGGAGTGCATTAAAGAATGCTCTAGTAGGAGTGAGGTGAAGCTGAGCCCCATTCATACTCTGTCTCAATTGTAACCTCATTTTCATTTCCAGTGATTGATCTACAAACGTACAAATATAGTTTTGGTAAATGAGACCTAAAGGGAATTTTAATGGGGAATTTCTGAGACGTGTCTCCCCTGTTCCCAAGAAAGAGATGCGGAAGAGTAAGTTCCTGCTTCCTCCCCTGCTGCAGCCAACTTTTGACCATATGGTAGTCTGGGCTTTGGGAAATTCCTCATATAGAGGACTGAAGAGTGGAGAGAGAGAAGGTGGGCTCTCGATGAGGTTGGTGAGCTATAACTGAAGATTGTCTTATCTCTGGACTTGTTATATGAACTGATAAATGTCTGTATCATTTAAACTAGTTATACTCAGAGTTTTGTTTTTTCGTAGCCCAAGGAATCTGAACTAGTATATCACTGTTCTTTCCAAATAATAACCTTTCACTTTATTTGGCTGTGTTTTTTTGCTAATGCCTAAGATCTACTTGAACTTTATTAGATAATTATTCTGCTTTCTTCTGTGTTCTAAACATTTCTTGATTTGGTATAACTTCAAACATTACTAATTAATGAAGTGTATGTGTGCTGCAAATGGGTTACAAAGGTAATGAGATATCGACTCCTTCAGCCCTTAGGGTGGCCGGAAACCTCACGATGGTCAGCCTTGCCCTGGCAGGAAGCAGATTCCTCTATAAGAGTGCTGAACAAATAACATTTTCAAATGTGTTCACTGAATTAATGTATTGTTGTTGCTTCTTTCAAAATAATTAGAAAAATAATTTAGTAGGGCTGAATCCAAATTCCCTATGGAATACCAACTAATTAAGTTGGAATCTTAATTAAATGATTAATGGAATAGACTTCTAATAGCTGAAATTAGCTATATTTCTCTCTATTCCATATCCCTTTTGTGGATTTTTGTCATTGACCCCAATTTGCTTGTGGAAATTGCAAGGCAACAGAAAACTCTGAAGCACTGGTTTAGAACACAGATGGTCTGAGTTCCAGTCCATGTCTGCTCCTGGATTGTAAGTAAATATTCTACCCTCTCTAGATAGTAGTTCCTTCCTTATCTGTTTCAATGTGAGGCTGGGATTTGCTGATCTATGGTATACCAAGTGTTTTATTTTGATAAAAATATTCCTGTATTCATTGATTATCAAGTTTGTCAGTTCTTTAAACAAATGCAATTTGTTTTTCAGGGTGCTTATATTTTTCCTGTCATGCTATTTATTATGTATTATAATTAACTCTCCAAATTAATGGTTTTCAAATGTTAAATGGTAGACAGCAATGATTCTGAAGACAGTAAGTAGATGGGTATAGTAGATAATGTCACATTCTCTCCTTTGATAATGAATAGTAACTTCATAATAACTTAAAGTGTCATATTTTTAAACTAAAGAGCAAGTTCTGTGTGGGAGGATAGGCGGGTGTTAAAGATAAAAACATAATGGGTTTTGGCTGTGAAACTGTGATACCATGTTCCCTCAAAAAGGCTCTATAAAGTCAAACATAAAACAGTATCCAATGAAACAAAACAAACTTCATTATTATTCTTTTGCTCCTAGGTAGGATTCTGAAACATTTTGGTTTGTTTACTATTTTTACTTCCTATACGAAACCATATTTATTTATTTATTTATTTATTTTTTGAGACGGAGTCTCGCTCTGTCGCCCAGGCTGGAGTGCAGTGGCGCGGTCTCGGCTCACTGCAAGCTCCGCCTCTCGGGTTCACGCTATTCTCCTGCCTCAGCCTTCGGTAGCTGGGACTACAGGCGCCCGCCACCACGCCCGGCTAATTTTTTTTTTTTTTAATTTTTATTTTTAGTAGAGACGGAGTTTCACCGTATTAGCCAGGATGGTCTCGATCCCCTGACCTCGTGATCCACCCGCCTTGGCCTCCCAAAGTGCTGGGATTACAGGTGTGGGCCACTGCACCAGGCCTTTTTTTTTTTTTTTTTTTTTTTGAGATGGAGTCTTGCTCTGTCGCCCAGGCTGGAGTGCAGTGGTGCGATCTCAGTTCATTGCAACCTCCACCTCCCGGGTTCAGGCAATTCTCATGCCTCAGCTTCTCAAGTCTCACCCTTCGGAATAGCTGGGATTACAGGTGTGCGCCACCATGCCTGGCTAATTTTATTTTTTGTATTTTTACATGTCTTGAAATGGTCCTTCTTGTCTTCGTGTGTGTGAAGGAATGGGAGGGGTGGGAGGCAAGAGGTTGGCAAAAAAATCATTTGTCTCTTTGTCAAAGAAATCTCAAAAAGACATAATGATCTACCTATATTCGCTAGCGCATTTTTTACCACATATCTCTGCAGAGTTGGGATATTTAAAACAAAACACAAGGTAACATGTTTCACACTTAAAAGCATGGTAGACTGTAGGTTACAGGTGATGTGAGGTGAGGCGATTTAACAAGCTGCGGTGTTTTAAATATCTCCTATACTAAGTGGTTTGGTTGCAAAAATAACTCCAAGGGAATATGACATGACCTAAAATATAGAGAAGAGCATCTTATTTAAGCAATACAATGTGTGAAGTATGTTAACAAAATCTAGCTCTGCATATACTGTATAATATCTGAACTGGGATACATCAGCCCCTGTGGTTCACTATTTTTGGTTCTGAAATGCCAGCACAAGGGGCCAGCCTAAGGGCTCTGATTACCTTTCACACATTAGGAAGACAGCAACTCTGACATATCATATGATACAGAAACCTTCTCTGTACTGATCAAACACATCATTCAGTATGGAGTCATTAACTGGAAGGGCTTGCAGCAGTGGAAGTGAACTCTAAACACCACTACGTCCTTCACTTATTCACGCAAAAATTATTTATTGTATACTTACCCACGCATTGGGGATACAGCTTTAAAAAGGATTACGACCCTGCCCTCACAAAGCTTGCATTCTTGAGAGGGAGACTGATAATAAACAACAAATCCACAACGTTGTTTCAGACAGTGATGAGGGCTGAGAAGGAAATAAAGCAAGGCCAAGTCTTTATAGAGTGTGGCTATTTTAGATGTATGGTCAGACAAGGGTTCTTTGCAGAGGTGACATCTGAGCTGAGACTTAAATGACAAGATGGAATCAGTAGGCAAAGTACTAAGCAGAAGAAACGGCTCTTGTGCGAAGAGCGAGCAAAAGGAATGATTAACAATGATGGATGGAACTTGGCGACTTCCAGGAACAGCATGAAGGCCTCTGTGACCAAAACATGGTGAGAATGTGCTGATGAGGTCCCAGAGTTAGGCAAGGAGTTTCATTTTTTTTTTTCTAAGTGCAGTTGGTATGCACTGGAAGTTTCAAGTAGAGCGTGGATTGTGAGGGATGTAATAACAACAGACAGTTTAAAATACAATATTGTACTTCGATTTGACTTCTTCGAAACCTAGTTTCCAATTCCAGTGCTGGTCAAACAACACCCTGGCCGTCCCTGTTTGCGCAGGCTGTTTGCGCTTGCCGCGGCTTGTTTGTCCCTGGCGCCCCGCTGTTGACAGCCTCGGAGCGTGTGACAGTTGGCAGGCGCAGTGAGGCGCAGCCCGAGCCAAGTCAATGCAGGGGCCGGGGCTGAGGGAGGGGAAGAGGCAGAGGAAGCGGTGGTGGCGCGCTGGGAGGGCGGCGGCCTCTGCAGCGAGGGTGGTGGCGATGCGCAGACCGAGAGGGGGAAAAGGAAGCCTTCCCCGAAGAGCCTCCTGGGGGCTCACGGGGCCCCTGGCGGTTCGGCCCCGGAGGCTAGCGGGGCTGCCCGATTTGGCACTGGAAACAATGGTGGCTCGGGGCTGGAGGCAATTGCGCGAGAGCTGGGGGGCAGGGGCGACTAGGGGAGTTTCGGTTTCTCGGGCCTAGCGCCGCGGAGCCTTGCTGCGAGCCCCAGCGGTGGCACCCCCGGGAACCGCAGGTGTTGATTTAAGGCTTGGAACAGGCAGGCCTTCTGCCCACATCCTGCGGCGCCTGTGATCCGGCCCGGGCGATCCGGCGCCGGGTTTTGTTATCCGCCCGCACCTAGAGGCCGCGCCCGCAGCCGCCAGCCCCGGGACTGGACCCCAGGGCGCCCTCGGCCCTGGACCCCGGGGAGCCCTCGGCCCTGCGGGGTCCCTGCCCTCTCTTCCGTCTCCTCCTCACCGCCCTCCCGGGGCACTATGATGCGGGAGGGCATCCCTGCCGAAAAGACCTACAGCGCCCGTTCCCTCGGTCCTTCGAAAAGTGATCCCTCGGCGGCCAACCTCCCCAGGGAAACCGGCGATTCGCAGTTCGGATAGCGACCTTCGCCCGCAGGTTCCTGCTCTGCCTTCAGACCTCGGCTTCAGTGGCACCTGCTCAGCGAGGCCGTGTCCCACCAAGCCATCCGAATTAGCTACCCACTCACTCGCCATCACGTCACCCCGATTTAATGCGCAGCGGGGCACTGACTTTACACTCGTGTGTCTTCTGTGTTTATTTATGGTCTGTTTCTGGAATGTCCGCACCTGGGACTGGGACCATGTTTTCTGGCGCAGTGCGGGTGTCTCGGCGTCCAGAATCGGGCGGGTCGCAGTAGGGCTCCACAATTGTTGAGTGACTGAACACGGTTCCCGGCCAGGGAGAGCGCCGCAGCCAGGTCCACTTCAGGCAGTGACGGGGCGGGGCTTTCCCGGCCCCGCCCAGGCCCCGCCCCAGCGCGCACCCGCTCCCACCTCGCCTCTCCGCTGAGCCGCCGGGGGTTAGACTGTGCATTTCCCTCTTGCTTCCCTCGCTCTTTCTGCAGCCGCCACGAAAACCCGGAACGGCGGAGCCACCGAGCGGCGGAGCGGCGCCGCCCCTCGCGGCACCTCCCTGGCAGCCCCTGGAGGCCGCGCTGGGCATGCTCAGTCGGCTGGGCCGCCTCAGCTTTCGGAGTAGGAAGCTCCGGCGCTCGGGCTGTGAGGAGCCGCGGCGGGGGGAAAATGGAGCCCTTCACCAATGGTGAGTGGGCAGCCGAGGCGCCGGGACCCAGGCTCTCCGGAGCCCCGAGGGTCGTGGGCAGTCGTGATACGCGGGATCGGGCTGCTGCCGTCACCCCCCACACCGCGGGCTTCCCACGAGGGTTGGGGGAGGCAGGCAGAGGGATCTAGGGGAGGCAGGGAGGTTCGGGGGGCGGGCGGCGGCCAGTGCGGGACCCGGAGCTGGCGTGAAGGTCAGCGCCGCCGCCGCTCGCCCGGGGTGCGGCCGGTGGGCGAACCGCAAAGTTTGGGCTGCTGTGCGCAGAGGAGTGGGCAGTGGGAAAGTTGGCAGCTCAGGTTTGCCCCCGGAGGAGGCGGTGTCGGCCCGACTGTCCTGCAGGAGCTTTAAGCTGTGGCAGCCGCCGAGCCCAACTTTTGTGGGGCGCCAGGAGCTGTCCCCCTGCCCTTCAGTGAGCTGCCGGCGTGACTTTTCCTAATAGGGCGGGGTGGGGGTGGGAGGCTTGGCAGGTTAATGTTGTGGAAGGAAGGAAAACTTCAGGAAAGGCTTGCTCACCTCGCTCGGGGCCGCAGAGGTGCCTTCCCGCAGTGTCACCCTGCTGACCCTGCCGAGGTACTCCGCCGGGCCACCACGCTTCCCCTCACTGGCTGCAGATCATATCAGTTTTTCAGTCAAAGACTTGTTCATGTCAAGGGTCCGTCACGGTGATACCACTGTGTGACAGGAAGCGAGAGTCAACGTAGGGAGCCTGCACCCTGCAAACAGCCACAGACAGCCCTTCACTGAATGGGGGGCATAAATCCCACACTAGTTAGAACGATGGCTTTTGTGCGACCCAGAAGTGCCAGACCCACGATACAGGGGTGAGATGAGATGTCTTACCATTTTGCGGTGTTGAGTGTGTGGATTCCCTTTTAAGATAGAAAGTAGGAAAACTGCCAGTAAGGGAGACGACCCACTAAAATTAGAGAATTCACTCTCTGGTTGACATGTTTTCCTGAGTATGGTTGGTTACTTCAAGTAGAGTATCCCATTAATAGGGGCCTCAGTCTGTCCCTGTTTAGGTACGTTAGTTACCCAAATCCCAGCCAGACTTTGTTGTATGCTGTGCTTCATTCATGAGGCTGCGAACTACTGATTATATTCTCCCTTCTCTTAATATAGAATGCTTTATTCTACTGCCATCTTTCTGTCTGTACTGTTTAATTAGGCTTACTGATAACAACTTTAATTCTGAATTTTTTTTCTCATTCAGGTTCTGTTTGTAATTACTAAAACTTAAAGAATAGTCTGGTGAAGTTACTCGAAGAATTAAGGAAGGTTTGAGCTAAAAGGAACTAGAGAGACCATCTAGTACTTAAGTGTAAAATATGTTTAATATAAGTCGTTAAGTCCTTGTAAGTGACTATTTCAATGCTTATTCTTTGTTCTTGGTAGAATGCTTGGAGTTACCATGTTTTTAAATGTGAAATTTCATCTAAATTAAAAAAAAAAAATTCTCAGTGACAAGGCTGACTCACCCATTTGGTCAAGATTAGTGCTAGCTGATTTGATGAACCTTTGCCTACAGAATTAAAGTACTTTCTCAAGTTTTAAAATTGGCGTCTTTTCTCTCATAGAATATGCTTCTAGATGTGGGTATTTGCAAACTGTCACATTTGGGAGGACAATGGAAAAATCCCACAGAAGAGAACAAAAAAAGAAGCAATGCTTCAACTTTCATGTAGGAAATTGGATTTCTGATCCTTTCCTATCTTTCGGAGTTGATGCTGGAGACAGCTTGGCAGTGCATAATTTTGGTTAATGTAGCAGTCACTTCTTGCAGCCTTATTTAGCATCCTTTTATAAGGAAAACAGAAATGACAATATCTACAGTCAACAAGAAATTAAATGTTAGCAATTTGAAGTGCTTTTCAGGTTTAAGATGGACAGGGTATTTATTTGAAAACTTTTGAAGGATTGCTGTAGAATTTTCTAGTGTTTTCAAATAACATGGTACAGTAGACAGTTATATACTTCATCTTTCTGAGTACAAAAAGTAACGCATGTATAATGCTCCCATTGGTCTGGGTGTGATGATGCAGAGTATTTCATTATCCATAGAATTTATGATTGCAAGATTTATCGAGCCTGGTATTGGATTTTGTTACACATTCATCCTATTTTAGTGGACTCTTTCTCACTTACACTTTCTCATGTATCCCTATATATCTAGAGAAGTGTGTGAGCTTAACAAAAAACAGTTTCAGTAATTTTGGACCACATATCTTTTAGTTAAAAATCTTGTCACTGGTTCCACCTACTGACCTATGTATTTGTAAAGGAAGTGAATTTAGTTTATATCTTGTCACTCTAGCCTTCAATACTCATCTATTCCAGTACGGTTTTTTTGTAGTTTCTCTGTTTTCTGTCCAAAGTTGCCATGGTATGACCTATTTTTGTTGGGCCCTGCTCTCTACCTGTTGATAATTTGTTCATTTGATGAATATGCCATGTTAACCTGTTCAGGTAACATACTTCTGCAAACCATTTAAAATGCCTATCCCCGGAAAGGGCTTATAAGGATGGATCTTAGTGCTAGGAATTCCCATTTAGCTCAGGATCTATTTTTGGCTTTGTCCTTGGGAGGGATTGCTATTATGCTGAAGTCTAGACATCCGGTCTGGGTTTGGATCTTTGGTGGCTTTTTTATGATGAGAGATGTGCTAGACCAGTACTTAAGATTGTTTTGGCAATAATGATTATGTCTTGTTAGGCAGGTGGAGGTAAAACTGTTAGTTCATAGTGATTTGTATATTTAAAAAAAAATCGAAGGCAACTATCTACTTTTTTTTGATAGGGATATTAGATTAAATAATTCTTTGATGTTTATCCAGATTTTTGTCCTCATTTGCATGCAGGGTTGGTATATTTTGGAAAAACTTAAATTCATCTTAGGAAATGCAGATGCTAAGGTTCACCCTCAGAATCTGATTGAGGAGGTCTGATTATATATGTAGTATATACTAGAAAGTATGTATACTTTCTTTCTTTCTTTTTTTTTTTT